TCCCAGCCGTTTTCAACACCCCTCTCTACTCTCTCTTCTTCACACTCTCCTCGAGAACGCCTCTCATCTCCCCTAACTCTCTATTTTACTTCTTCATTTAATCCCTACAATCAGGATGAGAATCAGCTCCCCTAATCTCCACCTATGTTCAACAACCACAGACCATCGGTGGTCACTCTAATCGTATCCTAAACCTCATCAAGAACCCAAGCCTACCCTTTCTAGTCGAGAGTTCTAAAACTCTCCATTCCGGCCACTAAGCTTCGATGGTTGCCTCCATCCCCGATCATTAAGCCAATTATTTCACAAATGCGTTGTCCTCACCTATTAACCGAAACCTCCCCCAAAATCCAAGCTTCAAGCAGAACCCTAAAAGTTCACCGCAACTGCCCCGGCCGAAGACCAGTATTGATAACAAGCTAAGGACTAGGTAGGTTCTCTCGGGCCATCACTCTTTTTATTTTAAAAAACCCCAACATAAAAACTAACCCTAGCTCACGTATAAGGTTTCTCGAGCAACTCTCAACACTCCGGTTTTGATTCAGGTGACTCAAATAGGTAATCTTCTAACCTTTATTTTCTTCCTAAATAAATACCACATATACGAATAGTTACTAAAAATAAACAAAATAAGATAAAATACCTCCTTATTAATGCTTGTTGTTTTTTGTTGTTTTTGCTTGAGAGAATGCTACTGCCCTTTTGTGAATGATTGATATCTTTGCGATTGTGAGAGTGAAAATCAGGAGAAAAAAAATTGTTTCCTTTTTATTACTTTCAAAATGGTGAACCAACAATTTTACAAATTGTTCTTCTTTTTCCCCGTTCTTTCTTTCTAATTTTTGTGAATGTCTAGTAGTTTTTCTAGTCCCCCCATTCCCTCGTTTCTGTGTAACTATCTAAAAAAAATCCCATTTACAGTTTTTCTTAACTGCTAAAAGAAACCCCCATTTCGTACTTTCTTCCCTCCATCGTAATGGTATTGAAATGCTAATAAAAACCGATCCTTTACGGTTTTCTTGATTGCTCAAATATCTCTCCTTATTGCTAACGGTTTCCCCCGCGTTTTGGTGCTGCCTTGGTTATTATATTTGTTTGCAGGGACTCCTTTCATTCGGTTGGCAAACCGCTCATGCAGAGGCTGGGAACCATTGTTGCTGGAAGCTGAGCTCGGTTCCTTATCGTTGGGCTGCTAGTATGGCTTTGATCTCCCACCATTTGAGCACTTTGAATTGGGCATATAAAAATAAAATATTTAGTTAGTATTTCATAAAGCCCAATCAATACATGTATATATTCAACATTAATTTATCTCTACTATATATAATTATAATACGTATAACATATAAATACCCTAACAATTTATTTAACTAAACAATATTAATTAATAAATCTAACTAATATAAATATAATTACTAAAATATAAAAAACCAAATAAAACCCAAATGACACCCCAGACAAATCAAGCATCTACAGAGATCTTAAATAACAAACAAATATTATCTTGTAATCACTATAAACTACTAAGAAAATGATATTATACTTATGATTAGATATGTGTCGGATATTGGGTTTTAAATACAAATATTTTAAGGAAAACAAATTAAAATTCCGAGTAACATACTCTTGAATTATGCAGCGATTCCGCCTTATGCGCAGAGTTGTAAGTGTTTGCCCGGTTCAGCCACTAGGTCCTTCACATCATTGATTCCGATCGATACCTGGATCCGACTCCGATCGATATCTGAATAAAATCTTTGGTCAGACCTTGATTCTGATCAGTACTCGGACAAAATATTCGGCCAGACCTTGAGTCGTATGGATGCAATGAAGTCATTTGCATCCTCGATTTCAACTAATATACGGATGGTATCTTTGGTTACACCCCGAGCTTTGTCGACTACACCCGAAATGCTTGCATGAGACATGAAGCCGAGGATGGTTAGGAGAGATTTATATATTTTTTTTATCAATTTAATCATAATTATAATTACAATTATGTACTGAATTTTGATCATCGCCAAAAGTACTCGACAAGCCTAACCTATAAAACATTGGTCAGCAAATAGATCTAGCTATGCTAATTCAATGAGTTTAGTCATTGCACCACAAGGATAAGATATTACTTCAAAATTCATCAATAATGTTCCAATGTATAAAAAAAACAATTTAAGGGGACATTTCCTTTTATAAAATGAATGAGAAAAAAAATTAATAACAACTTAATAATATGAGACGTTTTCAATCTCATTAATCCTGTCGCCATTCCAATCACAAAGTTCACGACTCTCCTTTTATCTATAAGTTCCAAGGTTAGGAGCAATATTCAAGAAGATTCAATTGTGTAGGAATCATTTCAAAAGTATATTATAATTCAAGGACCTTTTCTGAATTAACCTAATTATTTTTAACCTAAGCTTTTTTTTTTTCTAAAAAACCAGGCAACAGCATACTGTTAACATATTCCAAAACGCGAGCCGACTGTTTCCCTTTGTATCAGATTATCTTCTGGTTCAGCATTTCTTTTGTTCTCTGATTCTAGGTAAATCAAAGAAAATAACACCATCTCATGATATAGGGGTTCTTTGGGGAAAAAAGAGAACCTTTTAAAGTAAATATACTTCTAAACAAATTTCTTTGAATTCTTTCGTTGTTTTCGCAGCAATCATGGCAGACGACGAAGTGAAGGATGAGATCCCGGAAGTAAGTCCCTTTTGTTAAGCTTTCCCACTTTCTGTAATTAATTCACGTAGAAGATTATACTGGTTCGATTTTAGATGTTTTCACATAAATTGATTGATTTATTTTTTATTTTAATTGACGTATTTGCTTCAGCTTACATCATTCGATCCTACTAAAAAGAAGAAGAAGAAGAAGGTTGTGATTCAGGACGGTGCTGATGATTCTGTCGATAAGTTAGCCGAGAAAACTGAATCCTTGTCGGGTATTTTCTCCAACTATTCATACAAATAAATTTTGCATATATATATATATATATGTGTGTGTGTGTGTGTGTGTGTGTGTGTGTGTGGGTGGGTGGGTAATAGATAGATGTAAAAATATAATATAATAGGAACAAGAGACAAAGGGTAAAAAGCAAATAGTGGAAGTATGAACTTGTTGGAGTTAGTAAATTGCTATATGTTTTGTTAGGAGACTTATCATTTAATTTTTCTTTGCTTACAGTTTCTGAAGGGCTTGACTTCAGCACCTTGAAAAAGAAGAAGAAGAAACAGGTGAGTTTATGGCTTTAAATTAATAGATATGTTTTTTTTTCCGATTAACTAATCTGATCTTGTGCACTGTGATATTGCAGGTAGAGACCAGCACATTTGACGAGGAAGTTGGGGATGCTGGGGATGATTTGGATGGTAAGATTTTCTTTCATTAAATGGATGCCATTCTTGTGGTGAAATCTGTAATTAATATGTTGATATGTCTTTTTACTACTTAACTAGGTCATATTGATGGGGATGAAGAAGGTGATAGTATTCCCTCGCGACCACGCTATCCCTGGGAAGAAAGTGACCATGATTACATATATGAGGAGGTATAGTGTGTATGTGTATCCCTCTGTGTTGTTGATATTGCATGATTTATCTTGTAATTATTGATTGGATATTCGTGGATGTATTTTGATAATGTACCTATGAACTGTACTTGGTGGAATGTTAAATGTCAAAGAAGGTTTTTGGAATTTCACCATTCCCAGTGATCCATTTTGGAGGATGGTTTTATGTTTCTCTAAGGCTGCTGATTGAATGGCTGTCTTTGTATCTTCACAAATCTGGAGAGATTGCTCTTGATTTTATGGGGTTTGAAGTTGTAATTAGTGACTAGTAGAGCTCCAAGGGGATTGACTTTTCACTTTTAACAGCATACCTGAAAATTATTGAGTCTATATACTATTTCTTCTGCTGTACCATTGATTTAATCTTCATTTGATGGGATGAATGCAGCTTCTTGGTCGTGTGTTCAACATTCTCAAGGAGAATAACCCTGAGCTTGCTGGAGATAGGCGTAGAACTGTTATGAGGCCTCCACAAGTTCTTCGTGAAGGAACCAAGAAAACTGTTTTTGTGAATTTCATGGATCTATGCAAGACGTACGTTACTGCCCTTTTTCCTGTTTTCTGTACTCTTATTCATATATGTATACACACAGAATGTGTTGCTGTATGGGATGGCTGAGGATGGCATATATCCTTTAAGGGCCACTTTTAGATTTTGGATTTTTATCCTTATTCTATAAAAATATATTGCATGCATGTTGGTCATGCTCGGAGTTTGTTGACCAATATATTGTCTTTTGGTGTTGTCATTACAACAGTATCTGACTTAGGAGTTGATAAGATTTGGGGTTTATGGTCAAGTTTATTATTCAATGTTCTATTTGCATATGGGTTTCATACAGACGCATCTTTCTAACAAATTCTTACATGTGAAATCATTTAGAATGCATCGACAACCAGATCATGTCATGGCCTTCTTGCTTGCGGAGTTGGGGACAAGTGGATCACTTGATGGGCAGCAAAGGTTGGTTGTGAAGGGCAGGTTTGCACCCAAAAATTTTGAAGGGATCCTAAGGCGTTACATCAGTAAGAGCCCATTTTGGTCTTTGTAACTTGTATTGGGATGCTAAGGAATCTAAACTTGAAGCAGGAAATATTTTGATGGACTGACTGGGAAATTGGTTTCCTCTTTACAGATGAGTATGTTATTTGCCTTGGATGCAAAAGTCCAGATACAATTCTCTCAAAGGAGAATCGTCTTTTCTTTCTCAGATGTGAAAAGGTAACATTGTTACATTCTTCTCCAGCCCCTTCCTTCTTAGATGAGCATGCTATTACTGCCTTGGGTGCTTATTATATATCTAGAGTTGTTTTCTTCCATTATAAATTTTTTATTCATTTTGTGATCATACGAATTGGGTGTGGTGGAGCAACCAACTTCGTCTTCTCACTATGTGAATAGTGTAACTAGAAGTTTATATTTGCTTTTAGAGGCTTATGATGATTAAAATTGCCTACATTGTCAGACCTTCCCTCTGATGATATGAAAATAACAAATCTGAGGCCGGAATTGCTTGTGATCACTTAAAAACTTATTTGTGACGGTAGATGTCATTGTGTCTTATGATAAGTTTGGTTTCAAGTTTAATGGAGTTGATAGCCATTCCTATTCTAGCAGTTGCATTATTGCAATTCTTTCCACTATGAAATCTGACCATGTTCAATAAACTACCTGCACTATCTGACTTGTGAGCTATAAATGACACTGTTATTGAAGTCTCCTCGAAAACCATCGTGCATGTTGATTTGGAGTGAAGTTTTCTGGTGGGATTATTGTCATCAAGTAAATTTGTTTTGAAGAAATTTTCTAATGAGTTGTCAAATATAGTTGCCCTCTTTGTCCAAAGAGGGCTTCTGATGTTCGAAAACTGCCTACATTGTCATATTGTTTCGTGAATGAGAAAATGCTTGTTCCGGAGCTCCCTTGTCAACTTTCTAATGTTGCTTAGATTTTGAGTTGTTTATTCTAATGAAGGTCTTGTTTTACCTGCTCACTGCCTACTGTTAACTCGATCTTTGTAGTGTGGGTCTGGACGATCAGTTGCTCCAATTAAAGCTGGTTTCGTTGCTCGTGTTGGCCGTAGAAATGCTGGCACTTAGGCTTCTTGATTCGGCCAAAAATGATAATCGGAGGCGAGAATTTAGGAACACCGGGTTTTAGTACTTTAGTTTTGAGATTTTAAGCGGTACCAAAAGATTGTGTGTTTTGAGACTTGCGATTTCCTTATTTGATCAACTTGGCTCATACTGGAATATATCAGCGGAGAACGACTTGAGTCTTATTATGACAAGTATTTAACGAGGACCACACTCTCTCGTCCGATTAAATTATTTATTTTTGATTAACTTTTTTCAAATTTGATCCATTTATTTTAAATAAATATATGTATTTATAACTATTTTATTTATTCTAACTTTCTTAAAAAAATATTTTTTGTCAAGATTTCTGTGTTTAGTAATCACAAGTTTTAACTATTTGCAATCGGGTCAAATCAGATATTATTTTGGGGCAGATTTTAGTGTTGATATTTTTCCATTTGCAAGATTCTAATTCAAAATTTTACTTAACAAACACCAATCACTTAATTCAATGAACGTTAACACATTCAAATGGTTACGATAACGTTATACGGAATTAACAGTTGCCAACAAAGGCAAAAACAATGGATTTTTTTGTCAAACAATGAAATTGAATATTTTAGTTGATTTATTCAAAATCTATTAACAGCATTTATTAATAAAAGAACCAAAGATAATTAATAAAAATTATGAATAATATAAAATTAATTTACTGTTACAACTAGACTTTATTGTATCGCATTGAATACTAAATAATACAGCTCTGTTCACGAACCATACATATATTGTCTAACCAAATCCAATTCTCTGTTTACAGACTATACGAACACTTTCGCCGATTAACAAAGTGAAGAGACGAGAATTCATATGAAGTATTATACAAAAGGCTGTAGAACCTTACGAAAAAGCATAAAAAATAAATTCAACTCCTGGATTTCTCCTATTCAGTGACTCAAATAGGTGGAGCTAAATAATTTTCATTGTTCTACCTGCAAATTGTGGAATATTTCATTATATTTATGTAAGCATGCATGTATGTATGTAAAAGAAACTAAAGTAAACTATTCCTAGGAATGGATACAAGAGTCGAATCCGACAGATTTTGACCCAACCTTATTAGGTCACTTTTTTTAAATTATTAGGTTTAGGATTGAGTTTAAATTTAGGGTGAAAATATCTTATTTGAAAAAATAATATAGTTATACCTTATTTATTTAGGGATAATTGCAATAATGCCCCCTTTATATTATTATTTTATATTATTATTTTCAATTAAATCCATATTTTATCAAATAAAATTAAGAATTTTTTATATATACCCATGACCATCCTAATTAAACACAGAATGCATGAAGCTACCTTCTTTCTTGATCTTGTAATTCTTTGGGCGGATGTGGGCAAGGGCATCTTCTGATCTTTCACATGGCTTATTGTAGCTCGGGATCGTGACGCCCCTATAACAGCACCGTAGTATTGTTACTAAACACATTTAATAAACAGGAAGGAGCAGAGTTATGAAGCTAAAATTACCTTTCCTTTCGACTCTCGTTGATTGAACTTCAGTCTCCTCTTCTTGTTCAGTCACCTCACTCGAAGCTCCGGAAGGTTCGTCTGGCTCAACAAGTTTACATCTCGGTTCGTCATTCGAAGTTTCGGTTTCCTCTTCCGCGGACGTATTGGCAACCTCGGCATCGCTAGCACCTACAAGATAATAGCGTGAATAGCAAGAAATTAGAGAGTCACAGGTACATGGTTAAACTCATGAACCAACCTTCAGCAACTTCAGATTCTGCACTTTCTTCTCCATCATTTGCGTTCGTGACAAACGCTTCTACGTTGCCGAGCTTTTGTCGATGTATTTCTGCATTTTTGGCAGTAACCTCTTGCTCCTTCCTTTCGTTGTGGAACTTGTTGAGTTTCTCCTCGAACTCCTCAATGCACACTTTCAGTTCTGGTTTAGCAAACTTTTTACTCTGCAACCGATGCGTAGATAAAATGAATCATCTGATCCGAGTTCACGATAACAGACAGGAAAGACTAGGAAAGAAAAGAGTACCTTGTTAATTATGTTTCTAAAATGGTCTATCACAGAATCCTCAGATAGGGCATGTTCATAAGTCTTGAATGACTCTATAAGCCTTTTCACTCCCTTTTCGGTGAATGATAACTGAGAAAGACAATAAGAAATATTCTCCCATTGCACAACATCTGCAACAAAGACGAACCATTCTGTAAGCAAAATCGAACTTCTACATTCATAATATGGATGCATCCATAGTTATAGTTTATTTGCAATATGAAACAAGGTCAGAACCTATAAACCATAATTTAAACCAAAAACAATGTTTGCTAATTGCTTCCAAGATCCTGCCAACCCTACTAAAAGGAGCAAACTGTGCCAGAAAATTTACAGCTTAATCTGCAGCAGCACTTATGGCCACGGAATTGAAACCTTTTAACCTTTTATAACCGAATATCAGGAACACAGAAACAATAATATTCGGAAAAGGACATTATCATCTTCAATGAATAAATGCAACGAGAATTTAAACAATCAAAGATTGCATGCCTGTGACTCCACTAAACCTATTGCAGAGCTTTTCAACAAGTGATTCCATTTGTTTGTCCTGAAAAATATTATAGATATCATGTTAACGAGATTATAAAGAACAGTAGTGTCATTTTTATCTAAAAATATATATTTACCTTCTTGATGGAACCGATTAAGAACTGCATTATGTTGCAGAAAGAGTCTTTCTGCAGATCTTGTGTGGATAATTTACCGAGGATATCTGGGAGTAAATTATATATTGGATTGCTTCCTGCCAAAAGAATTGGAAATATAATTGTTAAATACTTATTTAAGTCGAAGAAACATATTTTACTCGTTTCTGCAGTTGGAATATCACAATTCACCTTTCTTTGACAACTCCAGAAAAAAGAGTTTAGCCAAACTAGAGATCCTCTCATCATTGTCTTCTACTCGTATAGCCATCTCGTTTATGTAACCTTTTACCTGATCCAAACATGCCAAGAATTAGAACCCTAAAGCTTTCTAATATATATAAAGTTAAAAAGAAAGAGTATGCAGACGATAGTCAGCCTGTCAGACCTTCATCATGTCATTTAATATGAGATGTGAAAGAACCAGAACAGCATTCTTCCTAACTGAAACCGAAGGATCCTTTAACCGAGCATACATGTTCTCCGTCCATGGTTCTAAGAGATTAGGAAAGCGAACTGCCAGATCTCCAAGAGCAATAGTGCAATTAGAACGAACAATTTCTGATGGCGCATTCTCCACAACAGTGAAGAGAAGTTGGAGATTTTCATCACTGGAAAACAATTCAATAAAATAATCAGGCATGAAATCTCCTTTGGACTCATAATAGCAGATAACAATCTACAGGATGAGAGATTTACCAAAATTTGGCATCTATAATCATGAATCGACATAAAGCAAGCATTGCAGAGGCTTGTAGTACTGGATACTGAAACAAAAATGTAAAGTCAATTTATTGAACAAGGTTTTGTAAAACAGAGAAAATAACAAGCATACATGCAATCTAGTATAGATAAAGAGAAGTAACTTCATTTTGTTTCCATGAGAAGTTAAAATGACTTCATTTTTATCAGTCAATTATTGTACAATTTATATTTTATAAATTATACAAATAAATGAGATTATTCTCAAGAACTTAGCAAATGTCATGATGAGAGATGATCAGACATAAATTCAAATGGTAAAGAAAATAGTCATAATCACAATGTTACACGCAGTAATCTTTATTGAGAAAGTAGATAATGGAGTCCAAAGTTAGGAAAATGAAAGGAATCAAATAGAGAAGGAAATCTGCAGCACGCACCTTCTGCATCAAAACAAAATTTCGGCACAGTCTACTGAGAAAAGGTGCGCACTCTCCAATCAAATTCTTTTCACTGAAACTACCACAAACAATTTCTTTCTCTGCTCTCTCAGCGAGTGTGTCTAGCATTGCATCTTCAGAAGCAGCAAGACCGAGTTCAGCATTGATATTATTATCCTGGAAGACATCAGATATATAAATTCATAATAAGTTTTCTTAATCTAATTATAAATTCATAATTGAGAATAAATTATTAGTTGAACTGTGTTCTTTACCTTCTGCGTTTCAGCATTTTCTTTGCCTTCAGAATCCACTTTTTCTTTATTACCTTTCTGTTTCTGGATCTTTCGAACACAAGATTCAATGTATACCAATTGGTTCATGGCAGCATGACTTGTGACAAATAAATATCTGCTAAGCTTTGCTACTTGGACTGTGGAAAGTGCAGTGGAGTTACCACTGACCATGTCATTGTGTAATGCATCTCCTCTGCTACCACAAAAAACTGAACTAAGAGATTTTTTTACAAGATCGGCAGCTAAAATCTCTGGAGTTGGATGGATG